CGCTGGCAGATTCCAGAAAGGCAAGGTTCAAGAAAGTTCTTGGAAATCAGGCTGAATTTTTACGAGTTTAAGTCAATGGAACTCCGTGTATTTGAACTGTTTAGGGAAGCGTAAAACAGCACGGGATACAGGGGAGTTCGAGTGAGCTGTCTAATGCTCAGAGGAATTGTGCAAATTGGGTGTTACGCTACCTTCGCGGACCTTTCGAGGCAGTTTTGTAAATATGGTTAAAAAGGTAACTTTCACTATCATAAATAGGGTAGATTTGGATCCATTTTGTTTGTTTCTGTTTAAGAAATAAGAAAGGATCCCGGTTTGAAACAAAATCCCGCATATGTCCCTTTTTTTTAAGAGAGGATGTCAGCATCCATCGAACAAATTTGAAATATTGTGGCAAGTCGCCCAAAATTCGTTTTCTCCCCTACTACTAAAACAAAGGATTATGCTGACAGAAATATCGGAGGTCAAGTAAATTCGTTACATGAGGTCACACAACTCGGGTAATATTCACGGTGAAAGTTTGCATATTTGAGCGGTCGAACGATAAAAGTCATTTCTCGAAAACTAAAATATATTTTCACCAAAAAACTACACCACAATTATTAGGACATATTGGGCTACAGAATATGAAAGTAGGAGAGAAAACGAATTTTGGGGACTTGCCGCTGTTTGTCTGATGCATGACGACATTAGCTCTTAAATCGCTTATTCCCATTGGAGGATATCTCAATGAGGATTCAGAAATAACCATTGAAGAGTTAGGTGGACGAAGGTGATGCACTAAAATATATCCCTAACTGATATCATTGAATGTTTCAGCTTAATCTGACTTAAATTCAACTGAGATGAATCTTAACGACAAACCTGATGCTCTAGCCCCTCCCACACCTCCCCCCGCCTCCCCCCTTTCCGATAGAAACGACCACGAAACGCACGCACGCAGATTTGTTGTTTTTATAGTTTGATTTAAAAGGATAATAAACTTACTTTTACAATAGTCATTTCAGCCATAATTAGGGCATAGAAAGATGAATAATTACAAAAACTAGACCTTTCATAAATTCACATTCCCTGTATGTTGTTAGTATTGTTTCACTAGTGTGGAAAATACAGAGATAGAAAAAGGTTTTGTTGGCGGTAATTTCCATTGGCGATCGTGAAAACCTTTACCGCCGTTCGGTTTACTCGCCTGTTGTTCGTTTAAGTGATCTTTTCTATACAGGATTTCTACAGGTCGTCGTTGAGTGACCTTAAAAAAAAGTAAGCTTGTATAAAAGGCAAGTAGTCTTGTACAGCAGTTGGTTTGTAGTTATAAATTAAAGAAGCCCTCTCTTCCTCTGCTCTGGAGAATCGATGAGTGCTGAAGCGCGCTGCCGACAACAGAGAGGAATTACTATCATTACAACTATTGTTGTTATAATTAACCTTTTCCCTCCCTAGATTTCATTATTAGTAATTTGTCTTGCTGTCTGCCATACGATTCTTATGATGCTAGTTTAGGGAATTTGGTATTGGATCAACTAATCATCCTCTAATTGATATTTTCTTTATTCTCATCACTTGTCTGCTTGATATTGTATTGGTAGTGTAAGGAGAAATTCTGTCCTGGTCACCAAAGGGAGTTAAAGGGTTAATGAATAAAGTATCTTCTTCCATGATACTACAAGCTCAGAATAGAACATGTCTAGATCGCAACACTCTCATAAGTTCACTGCTGTTACCAGGATCACTTAAACAAAATTAACCGATCACACTATAGGAAATAAACAATGATTCCAACTCAATTCAATTATAGGCAAAACAAGCAAAATATAACAAAAAGTTCAGGTGTTGTTCATCGTTGGTTGTGACATGTTGTGTGACATGTTATTTCGACTCTGATCCCCCGTATGTAGGGAAGCGTTTTTTCGCCTTGAATCACGTGCTTTGAATAGAAGAGATCGTTGCCTGAGTTTCTGTTATTTTTTTCTAGTTCTGTCTCTGCATTTTGATCCACTAGTTTTGTGTAATTTAAATACTGAGATTTTTTTCGGTCAGTGGATCATTATAACAATGGTGGCACTGAAATATCATTACAAAAATTATCTGCCATCAGTTACAGCTATTTCTTGTTATGGGAGAGGAACTAAAATCTTTTTCCAAGCTCACCTTTTTGAATTAGGAAATTTGCAAAATACTGGCCTGACAGAACATCGGCCAGCGAGTGATTAATGTCCAGATCTCTGCGCCATTCAAACTGGGATTTAGCCGGGTGCCTGTAAATAATGCAATTGGACTCTTGCCATCACTCCTGAGCAAGCTCTTTAAAAGGGAAGTCGACCTCTCTTTCGTGAAGATTTACCAAAAGCATATGATAAAGGAATTCTTCCTATTTATTTGTTCTATTTGCACAAAAACATCACAAGTAAGAAATTTACAACTGATAATTTTTTAGAAGAATTGTAACCAGAAAAGAATTAACTAATGTAGCGAGAAAGCCAGACGAAGCTTATGATATTTGGGTTTGTTTTTTTAGGGTTCCTTATACTTTTGGTTCTCACCTTCTATAGTTGAAATAAATTCAACCCCGCTGTGATCTTTACTGTTTGAAACGATTCTGAAAAAAGCATTTAGACGTCTGTACTTGCCATAATTCTGGCGTAAAAGAACAGAGTAGTATGGGTCAATGTATAATCTGAAACAAGTGAGGGCGTAAAGACTTAATAACCCTTTACACCTTATCATTAGTATGCATATTCTCCTCACTGTTCTCTATACATTTCTTCAGGTGCTGTCGAGGAGAATTTGTTTTACAATCAAGAGCTTCTTTAGTTGGTGATCATTTCCTTTATTCTCGTGACCTCAATGTTTGATTCAGCGGTTGTACTGTAAGGACAAATTAGATGCTAGTCACTCCTTGGGGTTAAAGTGTTAAATCACAAAAGTGGGCTGAGGTTAACTCTCTCCCTGTTTTCTTTGTAATTTTACCCTCGATAACTCGACGTCGATTTTCAGTTTTGCGGACCAATGAGCCATAACATTTTGCGCCGGAAGATTAAATTTAATATCAATTATATATTATGACAAATTGACCTTTACCGATATCACAACTTTTGTATGTCCGTAAACAAACAGTTTTGACAGTTCTTCCCGGCGAAGAGAAATAATGGCGCGTAATCTGGAATCAATCTGTTGTTTGTCATCACTTGTCAGTTTTGCCCAGTTCACTCTTGAAATCAATGACATGTTTCTTCTTCCCCTCAAAATTCAATGTCACAATAAAACGTGTATAAGCATCGAACCTCTCAAGTCAAGTGTTTCTGGTCTTTTTGTTCAAAACCCCTCTAACTCGAAAGCCCGATAACTCGAAGTAATTTCAATTTCCGTTGGCAATTCGAGTTACCAGGGTTCAACTGTAGAACGAAAACAAATTGTGCTTTATTTACAAACATGAATATTAACTCCGAACAACTCTCTCCTTTCTTAGTTGAAATTAGCTCAGCTAGTCAGCTATTGTATCTGTTGCATTCCTTTTCCATACCTGCCGGGGACCACACCGTCACTTGGCATCAAACCACGGGTGCTAAGTGACGGTGTGGTCCCCGGCGAGGCAAAGTTTGCAAAGGAGGCAGGGTTAACAAGCTGGTTTTCAACGGTCGTGTGTCGTGCTGCTATCTGAAACATCTAAACTGGAAATTTTTGAAGCAAAGTGCGGCTTAGCGTCGGTTTCACGGGGAAGATTGAATTTCTAGTGAATTGAAATGAAACTAAAGCATATGTCTTGGATTCTGCGTTGGATTTTTTGCTTCTATATATAGGATCGGACGTTCGAGAATGGAGTGTGCAGCCTTGAGCTTCTCTTATGTAGTAAACCTAGAAATGGATAACTCGCTAAAATGGCTTCTTTTCAAAATAGTAAGCTGTCAGATAACAAGCGATACACTGTGGAAGTAAGGTGAGGTATTTTTATTGAGTATTTGACTGTATTTTTATATTCCTAAGAGAGGTCGTAAATATTCCCATACAAATTATAATTTTACCATAACTCTTATTTCGCAAGGTGATCATCTCACAGCTGAAGCTTGGGCCGCCTGTGATTGAAGTCGTCTGGTAGCTCATGTGTTTGGGGAACGATTTTCTCAATTGATGGCATGGTTACTTTCACTGACGATTGATCCTCACGATTTGCTTCATGACAGGGGTTCGTGATTCTAAGGCCACCAGAACATGTCGCCCACTTGAACTGCAGCTACGTTCCGTTATAGCTGGAATAAGGACATTTGGTATTGCATTCTACAGTGGTTCTAGAAGATCCTGAATATCAGGCAGTGTTGGAAGGAAATAGGTCCAGCGGTGTTTCAGGCCAAAGGTGAAAGCAACATAGCATTCTTGAGGCTGTGACAGTGCAAACTCGGCTAGCTTGGCCACTTCTTCTGTCCAGCTCGTGACTTTGTTAGTGATGTATTATAAGAATAATAATTGTATTAACCCTTTAACTCCCATGAGTGACCAAGACAGAATTTCTCCTTACGATATCAATACAATATCAAGCAGGATAGTGATGAGATTAGAGAAAAATATAAATAAGGAGATTATTAGTTGATTGAATACCAAATTCTCCAAATGAAATCTAAAGAATTGTATGAAATACAGTAAGAAGAATTACTAATGAAATCTTGGCAGTGAAAGGGTTAATTTAGTACTGAGAGACTTCACTTTAAGATGATTAGGGGTACATTCCAATAAAAGTGCCTAAACAAAAATCATAGGTTGCCATTCTTGGTTGTTCAAGGACACAATTTAGTTCTTTATTTTGACAAGTGGCATTTTTTTTCATTCCATCCAGCTAGGTGATGATAAATGGCTGCATTTTGCTGACATGTCTTTAAGACTTCTTCCTTCCAAAAACTATTGCTTGATAAATATGATAAATAACTAATCACTCTCACTGAGTGAGATTAGGGTAGCAAAACTGGTCTGTAAGTGGCATACTTCTGCATGAAATAAGTTATTGAAAGCAATTGTGGAGGTCAGTTGAATAATGGGGTAAGTTTCTGAAGAAACTGTGGTGTTGGGTTGGTGGGAGAGTATAACAGGGTAATTTAGTGTTATCATTTGAGTTGATAAAGTAAATTGGCCACTGTAAAGAGTTTAAAAGCTTTTGAATCTTCCACAGGAGACAATGAAGAAACAATCAGAATGAATGCAACATGGGAAGATCCTAAGGTACATGTAACTGTACATGTAATTTCAATCCTGTCAGATCCTCCTTAAGATTGGTAGAACTGAGATGCACTTGCTTGTTTGTTTTGTTGTTGGTTTTATTTGCTTCTTTCAAACTTCAGCTCCAAGAATTATGGTTGCAGAAAAGAACCACACTTTTGCATTTGTTACAAAAAGAGGGAGTTGGATTTTGGATAAAAATTCCCTCTGCTCCATAATTCCCAATAATAGTAAAAATAAAAATTTCATACCCTGCACTAAACTAAAATTTAAGAGCTTTACTAATAAGTGATAGGAAAAGCTAATGATTGTTAAATTCAGATTGCAGGGATATTTTCAAGAGAGAAATGTGTGGCAATAAAATTGGATCACAAGAGGTAATTACTGGTACTCAGTAGAAAATACAATTTTTCCTTTGGAATGCAAAATTTATTTATTTATAATGTAATATTTATCAGTAACCAATAGATAAACTTGTAAACTACTAACAGACACCATATTAACCTTAAACAGGTACAGGAACACTTCAGTGTATCTTTTGTGAAACTTATTTTGATTAGCTGGTTATGGATAAATGGTTAGCTGCAGTAGTCTTAAAATGCGATCTTTGTCTGCATCTAAAATATGTATTTTTGTACAGTCTGTAGATTACCATTTCCTGTCAGGTGTAGGCTTCTTTTTTTTAGTTGAATAATAGAAGTTCTAGGAGCAGATTCCCCAAGGATGCTGAAAAGGAGTCATACTGAAACTTAATTTACAAGAATGGTGTCTGTAAGCAGACGTCAGAGCGGTTTAAGAAATTGTAATGTTTGCTCATGGCTGCTAAAGAATAAAGAAAAAAATTTTAATCACTTAATCCTAACCCCTTAAAGTGAATAATTATGGCTTACTTGAATGTGTAAATACAGAAGTTTCTTGTGAGTTGAGATCTCTGCATATGAGAAAGCATCCCCAATACTATGATTGTGCATTTTTTAGTTTTTAAGGGAAATGAGTACACTAAGTCTGTTTTGCTCGGCAACATAATTCAGTCAGAAAATTTCAGTTTTTTACTTTCTTCTTGATCTACTCTAGTGAGGACTGCAAGCAGTTTTCTAAACTTTGTATCCTTTGAGAGCATAGAAGTCACATGTGATTGAAACTGTTGTAGATGCATCTAAAGAATTGTAGACTTTTTTTTAAAGATACACATGTATGGGAAACACCATAGGATTATCATATTCTTTTAAGTGCCCCAAAATTGCTGAATTGCTTGGAATGGTTAATGGTAAAAACTGCATTAAAATATGCTTTAATTTGCTACATTTTATAACTCACTCCTAGTTATACAGTCAATAGATGTGTAACTCTCAGGTGATTGTTAGGCAACCAAGTGAGAGCTCAATGACCAATCAACTCTTCCAAAAGGTAATTTAGTGATATTATTATTATTATTATTATTATTATTATTATTATTATTATTATTATGTCAATTGTTGATATTCACATGCAGATCCTAAGAAAATTTTAATCATATTGCTGCTTGCAAAAATACTTTTTTGATGCAATATGAAAGAGGCCTTAACTTGCCATCTTAAATATGTAGACCCTTTAGTTTGCATTCCTACCACATATTTTATTGCTGAAAGTGGTTTGCCTTTAGAGGTTGTTGGTGGAAGTCTTCCTGTGGACCAATTTGTTACAAAAGCAGAGAAAGTTTTTGAGGTACTGTAAATATTTTTATTCAGGATGTGGAATACCCTCTTACTCACATTTGCACTATTTGATGGGTAACCATTATAAACTCTGTATCAATGGAAAGGTTACAAAATGTGCCATCTGCCAAAAGCAGGTTTCCTTCTAGCTTTATATAATTATAAATTGTCTTGAGGTATTCAATTTTTTGTACCCATCTAGTTGTGCAATTTTTATCTTTTTGAATTTTGGGCTTTATTACATTTTAGACTCACTTGAGGTCAACTTCAATCAAACCTGTATCAAGCACTGTGTCTCAGAACAGTGAAGCTTCTATTTCAAGTGAGCAATCTTCAGTGAGTAGCTCTCCTGCAGCAGAGCCTGCATCACAACAGAACCAAGAGGTTTCTAACAGAGAGACTGAACCTAGACCAGGACCATCAGAGGTGGGAAAAAATAGATGAGATAGTTCATGTAATAGTGTAGTTTGATTGTTCAGGTGAGTGTAGTCCTGAGAAAGACTGTTGTGTAACTTGCTCAGTTCCATGTTAAAACTGACAACCTTTATTTATTAGGAAATCATTATGATTTATACAAAGTGCAGTGCTTGTGCTTTTGCTAATTGCATAGTTGTGCATGCTGTGCGAGTGCAAAAGGTGACAGTTATATAGTGCAACAGTTGTTGGTAGTGGTAACAGAAGTTTCAACATCATCATCATCATCAGAGTTAATTCCTTGACTCTAACAACAGTATTACATGTTACCCCTCGGTTCAAACCATTTACTGTAGAGATAGTTAACATATGAAGTTGTCATTCAGTAGCATGTTGCTTAATTGGATAATTCAATTGAGAAGGCCATGAGCTACAGCTGTACTTCTTTTTTATTCCAAGGTTTGCAGATTTATGGCATTGTCAAGGAATGTGACAATGCCCTTGAACAGGAAAAGTGTGGATGTGATTTCTACCACAGTGTCCACTGTTTTTAAAATAATATTGTCTATTTTGGAAATTTTTCAAGTGAAGATGGTTGGTTTTGGCCCAGGCTATGATTGTACATGTAGTTCTTAGACAAAAAAATCATAAGTGAATGGATTTGAGCATTGTAAACTTAGGAAAAGTATGAACCACAGTTGGTAATTCATTTATTGTTTGATTCTTAGGAGCCTTATGGCAGAGAGCTACAGGGGGAATTATTAGAAGACAAAGTGGAAAGGTTAGTCATATTTCTGTTGAAAAGTTTTGTACAGGTCACCAATCTACACAATGTACATAAGCTTGAGAGAGTATCCTGTGGTGCTAGGCTTGATACAAGGAATGGTTGTGCCAGACCCCTAATAAACATCAGGTTCAAACTGCCAATTTCTTAAATAAATGTCAGATGCATTTAATGGGGGCCCTGGCATTTGATCAATGTCCCGGTGTTTATTTGCAGTTGAGGTCACATAGACCAGTCATAAGTAAGTAGTAATCTCTTGCCTATAAACAGATCAGAGGACGAGAAAATCCACTGTTTTAAGGCAGTAGGTCCACTAAGTAATGGAAAGCATGAGGTCACAGAAAGGGTGGCTGCATTTTTCAATGTGCTGGAACAAGCCACTCCTGTAGATAAAAATGAGGCCTTTGTTAATTAAGAGCCAGACATTTATGAACAAGAACTTAATGAATGAAGATTAGTATATTATTAAAAACTTAAATTATTTGTGTACTGTACATTGGCTGACACAAACAAGGAGGACGTTGGCAACATTGCTGTTTATAAAGTTAATTAAAATGAGGAGGACATTGGCAACATTGCTGTTTATAAAGTTAATTAAAACGAGGAGGACATTGGCAACATTGCTGTTTATAAAGTTAATTAAAACGAGGAGGACATTGGCAACATTGCTGTTTATAAAGTTAATTAAAACTTTGTACTCATATCATTTACTTGCTCCTACATTATTCACATTTTGTTTATGCTCTGTTTGTTAGGGACACAAATCTTGATTGCAACTTGGTACACATGCCATATGTTCAGTACCATAATACTGTAACTTTGGGTAATCCAGGTGCATAACAAAGGGAGAAATTGTCCTACACTAAGAAACTGTTCCTAGGTCTCTGCGAATCAGTAATAATAAATCACCTTGCTAAAATGGCTTAAAATTTCATTTCATTAATAAACCACAGACCCCTATTATGGCCTCACAAAGAAGCAGGTCAAACCTGCCCATTTTTAAATATAAGCCTGCTGCATTTTATCAAGAAAATATGGTATTTATGTTTTAGTCTTAAAAGTAAGAGCAGTAGGCAGTTTGGAACTCTTCTCCATCTTATGGTTGATCGTGTCAGATTCTTGAGTAAGTTTTAGCACGAAAGTGTAAACAATGAAAGTGTCAACAATTATTCATAAGTTACTGCTACTATTAATTTTAACTCTCTCTTCCTGTTGTTGAGCAGAGCAAAGCAACTTATTGAACAGAGGAGACTTGAGAAAGAGGAATCAGAAAATCAAGTGAGTCCAATTTTCTAATCTAATCCTATTCAAGTTCTCTTAAGGTTATGTTTTTATTTTGTCCAGAACTTAATGACTTTTTTTAAGTAGTTTTTTTCCCTTGAAACAAAGCCTGTTTGTTAATAAGCCAACATCAAGCTTATCTCATTTTCTGAAGCATGACATGACTAAGAGTTATGAAATTCCCTCAAAAGCAAGGTAGTCCATTCGAAGATATCCTTTTGCACTCTTTCATGTTTCCCAGACAGTACCCCATTTAAATGTTTATAAACCTTGGTGGAGAGAGATACTGTGAGAATATATTGTCTTGTTCTTAAGAACACCACAAAATGACCTTCTGATCCTTTCAATCTGAAGTCCAGTATCTTACTTCTAGCCCATGGGCAATTATGTTTCAGTTTTTAATGAGTTCATAATAGTGAAATAAATGTTATAAACCACTCACTGCTTTAGCACTATGATTTGGCAAAATACAAATTTGTTATCTTCACTAGTGAAGAGATGATAAAGAGAATTCTTTGCATTCTAGGAAACCAAGAAGAAAGAATTTGATAGACGTCATCAGGGACAAGAACTTGGTAAAGCAAAAAGGGACCGAGAAGAGAGACAGGCACAAAATATTGTGAATCAAATCAAAGAAGACAGAGCCAAAGAGCGGGCCCACAGGGAAGCTGTGCGGCAGCAGATTGCTAGAGATAAAGCAGAAAGGGAAGCTAGGCGGCAGAATGAGGTGCAGGAGAGACAGCGTGCTCAAGCTGCCTCACCCTCACCTTCAACTACCATGACGGGAGACAGTGAAGGGTTGGGAAAGACTGAGTGGTAAGTAAAGTAGAAATACATTGAAACATATCATTTGTACAGGCTTAGAGTTCTTGAATATCCTTCTCTTACATTGTAAAAGTAATTAAAGTACATGTGATTTATAACATCAGCCATGATTACTTTAGTTATACATTGTTGTATTGTATTGTTATTAACTGCTCTGTACATGCAACAGAGACTTTTTGTTTTTACTTAGCATTTCTGCCCGGCTCCAGTTTCGTCTTCCAGATGGCAGTTTGTTAACAAACTCTTTCTCACCTGATACTCCTTTGGAGACCATCCAACAGTATATCATCTCTGTGAGTAGTTAATTTTTACAAGAACACATATGTGTATATAATTATAAAAATGAGCAAAATTTAAGGAGCTTTCAGAGAATTCTATCTAGATAAGTAGAGGAGAATTCAGTGTTAAATGTATTGGAACTATAATTGTTAGGTTCTTATTTTAGGGGCCAGAAATAGTTTTCTTAATCTTCCTCCTAAACAGACTAGATATCCCAATTCTTAGGTCTGCATTAGATTCTTAATATCTGCAACCTTGCCTGTGTGTGTCCAATCAAAGATTCTCTTCAAGACCATTTGATTTTTGTCAATTGTCCTCACAGCCATCAACCCCTCCAAAACATAAGTGAGATCTTTTGACCAAATTGGTAATAAATTTACTGAAAATAAGTTTTATTAATTATGTGAATCTTTTCAATTGTTCTCAGCAACTAGGACCCAGTTCCAGCTCAATAACAATGTTCACCACCTACCCTAGGCGGGAGCTGACTGAAGAAGACCTGTTAAAGAGTTTGGCTGAGTTAGGTCTGGCACCAAGTTCCACTTTAATTGTAGCTGTGGTAAGTTTAAGATCAATATTAGGTTGTTTTTAAAACATTCATCCATTGGAAAGAGTGAATATTTGTCTCATGTGAACCTGGCATATGGCCTGGCTTACCAATGAGTTTTGTTTAATTTGTGTAACTCAGAGTTAGGTAATGGAAGTTAAAACTTTAGGAAATCAAAGGAAGGTAGTGTTTTAGGAAAGCTTGGGTACCACATGCAACCAACTTTAGCTTTTTCTTCAATCCCAATAAATGTTTAATCTTTTGTTGTGTTTGTTTTTATTTTTCATTGGTTAATTATAATTGTATTTGTGAAAAATGTTTCCTTAAATTCTTTGAGTGAATTTCCACATTCTCCCATCATTCAGAAATTTCCCAAAACTTGAAAAGATAAATAAGCAATACTAAACTTTCATTTTACAGAGAGGAAGTAATTCCCTCACTCCATCTGGGACTTCATCATTCCCTGAACTGTTGTTATGGATTCTTTCACCTCTGTTCACACTGATTAACTTCCTGAAAGCTTTCCTATTTGGTAGTCCTGATCAGTCTAGAGGGACACAGAATCCTCCTTCACAGAGAACAAACAGCAGCACACAGTCACAACCATCAAAGTGAGTCTTTTTTTGGTGGTTTGCCTTTTGTAAACAGCTGCATAGTTTGTTGTTCAACTTTATCACACTAGTTTGGTTGTTTGCTTGTTGGTGTTAAGAATGAAATTCTTTTCTCAAGAGCCAAAAAAGAAAAAGCAAAAAGAATTCCCAGATATTAAGTTTGAAGAATCTTATTTACAGTCAATTTTATTGTCCATTGTGTTTTTTGGCTTGTTGTTAGACAGATAAAAGTTTTGGAGAATTAATCAACTTGTGAATGCTTGAAAGTACACATATTTTTCCACTGGTGACTATACTAAATATTCAATTATCACAATTTGCAAATTTCACAAAAACAAAGATGGTCTCTTGTTTTAGATTGTCATTTCAGCAAGTAGAATATTGCTTTCTTGTGAATTTGGGCTCATAAGCTTTTCTATCTTATGAGAAAAACACAGCAAAAACAAAAGGTAATGAAAGAAATGCTCTTCTAGTCAAATTCAGAGTCATGAACAATATCTAAACTCCTTCCTTCCTAAGGTTACATGCCAACCTTCTTGCTGTTTTTTTTTTTTTTTTTTTTTTTTTTTTTTTTTTTCATGGCAGTTCTGGTGTACGTCATAGAGTCCCAGGTGGTGTTTCATCTGTAAAGAAAGAAGGCGGAATTCATCGGCTTCACAACAGAGATGATGAAGATGACGACAATAACACATGGAATGGAAACTCTACTCAACAGATGTAACTGAATGATCCAAGATTGTTTAAAATATATGGAGAGTTTAAAATTTTGTCTCTAATTTGGAATAATTCTTTTAAAATAGATTAGAGTGGAGATGAGCTTGGTTATTAGAGGGATGAGAGTCTGTGACAAATAATTCATTGATACAGAAACAATGTTCCTTTAGAAAGGAATCAAACATTTGTGTTAGCTCATTTTTGTATACAGTTCTATGTTGTGACTAGCCTGTATTGTCCATTATTCACAGATTGTCAAAACAATTGAAAAAGAAAACAGTTTAAAAGTTTTCTTCAGTGTATTCGATGGTTAATGGCACAACAATTTTCAATGTCTTGCCCAAAGTTGTAACTAACTTCCAGTTGTCATGACAGTTACAGTTAAAATGTCAAAGGATACCACTCCCCAGTCCCTCAAGAATGCAGAGAGAAACATGGGACCAAGGCTAAAATAAAACATACTATTTAAATGATATAGGAGTGAGTGGTATAGAATAAAAGAAAAGGATGTTTTAAATAATCTACGTAAATGATGTTCCTTTTTTTGAAAGCTTACATGTATCTGTCAGGGACCTCTGTTAGACCTGATGATGTAGTGGTTTTTCTGTTTTTTTTTTTTTTTTTTTTAATAGCAATAAATGATAGTAGAGACACACTATACTAAAAAATACCCAGAAAAAATTATAAAGTAAGCCACTGGGATAAAATATTACGTCCCAAGGAAAACCGAGGGAAAATGAGAAAATTTCATTTAAAAAAGACAACAACAACAGCAAACTTGAGCTGCAGTTTATTTTCATTTCCCATCTTGTAATTTCCTCTTATCCTCCTTTCACTATTCCCAGGCTCCAAACGAACCATAACTATTGTGCTGACCAAGTACTTTCAGTTTCGACTTTCGCTTACGTTCTAAGCTGTTCTAATTCGCCGAATTCGTAGTTGGTCAGACGGTTGTTGAATTGCTGTGTAAAATCTTGGAAACTTTGATCAATCACTTCAGGATCGTAATCTTTTTGCCTTTACAAATCACTGGAAATAATGATGATCAATATTCATTTCACAGTTTACCGATTGTTTGTGCTTGAAACATGCCTTTGACGGAACAAGTGAAAAATCACAGTAGTTTAGTTAGGGTGCATGCGAACTGAATCCTTTAGTAAAGAGTGTAAATCGAGCTGCTACACAATCGTAAATTGGCATGTTCATATTTGAAATTCCCGACTCTTGTGCCAAAAATGCACATCAATGAAAGGGTTAAGTTTCATGTATTTTCACGCAATGGCCTACAGCTTGTTGTGGTTATTTACAGCGGTGACTAATTCAGCAATGAAGTGTTTTATTGTTTGTCTGATAAAGTAGTCACTTTCTACTTAGGATCGCACTGTTGATGCGCCTCACATTAATTCAATCAGTTCGCTCTGCTCAAGAGGCACTCTCCCTACAATAGTCTCTAAAATCAGTTATCTTCTGAACGAATTCTTCGTCGCTTGTTTTCAAGGAAGGCGACTGAACATTGTGCATCATTCGATCTCGCAGTGGCGACCACATCAACCAAGAAATGTACGTAAAAGAAGACCTTCGTGTTGTTGATGATGGGATCATGCTTATTTTAGAACTGAAACCAGAAAATCAGTATCGTAGAATTCATTTTTTCCTCGTTTCTGTGCGGTATGGAATAGTTTCTTGAATATATAAAGTATTTTTAACAATTTCTCGTCATGAAATGGCACAGTTTTCCATGCAACTACGCATTTGAAAATGACACACGTTGGGCGATGCATGCAATTTCCGTGACAGGCTATAAAGGAATACCTTAGGTCACGCGATGTTTCGCCAACAACTTCAGTCACATGATGTAGATACAAACCAGTAAAGGTTTATCATCCAAACATCTAAATTAATTATTTATCCTTTTTAAAATGTTTTCATTTCCCATCTCGTATTCCACACTATCCATTTCCTCTTATCCTCCTTTTACTATTCCCAGGCTCCAAACGAATTGTAACTATTGTGCTGACCAAGTACTTTCAGTTTCGACCTCCGCTTACGCCCTGATTCACCGATTTCGTAGCTGGTCAGCTGGTCGTTCAATTGCTGTCTGACAACTTGAAAACTTTGATCAATCGCTTCAAGACGTAATCTTTACTTACGGTGGCACTAAGGTGACTGCTGTTTCACATCAAACCCAACAGAAGGGCTAACATCTTGCACTGCAGTGATAAACAGAGAGTCCTGCTTGAGAAATTTCCGCCTTCGCTACTAGTGATTACACGAAGTGAGATCAAGTATTGTGGTAAGATTACTGATTCTTTTTTCTGTTTATGTCTGCTGATGTTATTTTCGTGCACTTGGTGGCTCACTATCAAAGATTCACTGGACAAGTGCAATACATCATTGGGAATTATTTTTCAAATGGGCAATAACAGTGTTAATTTGATTTTGCCTTTACAAATCACTAGAAATTATGATGATCAAAATTCATTTCGCAGTTTACCGATTGTTTGTGTGTGATACATGCCTTTGTTGGAACAAGTAAAAAATCACAGTAGTTAAGTTAGGGTGCATGTGAACTGAATCATGTAGAGGAGAATGTAAACGAACTGCTACGTAATCGTAAATTGGTGCGTTCGTATTTGTATCTCGACTCTTGTACCAAAAATGCCCTCCAAGGAAAGGGTTAAGTTTCATGTATTTTCACGCAATGGCCTACAGCTTGTTGTGGTTATTCACCGCGGTGGCTACTTCAGTAATGAAAAATTTTATTGTTTGTCTGATGAAGTCGTCAATTTCGATGTAGGATCGCAGTGTTGATGCGCCTCACTTTTATTTAATCAGTTTGCTCCGCTCAAGAGGCACTCTCTATACAATAGTCTCCTAAATAAGTTATCTTCGTAAGAAATTCTTCGTTGCTTGTTTTCAGGGAAGGCGACTGAACATTGTGCATCGTTCGATCTTGCAGCGGCGACCACATCAATAAAGCAGTGTAAGTAGAACAGTAAATGAAGACCATCGTGTTGTTGATGATGTGATCACGCCTATTTTTAGAATTGAAACCAAAAAAATCAGTCTCCTAGAATTCATTTTTTTCCTCGTTTCTGTGCGGGATGGAATAGTTTCTGGAATATGTAAGGTATTTTTTAACGATTTCCTGTCGTGAAATGGCGCAGTTTTCCATGCAACTGCGCATTTGAAAACGACACATGTTGGGTGATGCATGCAATTTCCGTGACAGGCCTTAATGTGATATGTTAGGTCACGCGATGTTTCACCACGTCGGGCGTAAAATAATTGTAACCGTTTACGGTCGTTTTCATATAGGGTGATTCAGCACAAGCTGAAGTTGATTCGATACATCGACTAAGTCGATCCGATATACGTAAAAAGTCGTTTCGAAACAACTTCAGTCACATGATGTAGATACAAACTTGTAAAGGTTTATCATCCAAACATCTAAATTAATTATTTATCCTTTTTAAAATGTTGTCATTTCCCATCTCGTAATTCCACCCTGTACATTTCTTCTTATCCTCCTTTCACTATTCCCAGGCTCCAAACGAACCATAACTATTGTGCTGACCAAGTACTTTCAGTTTCGACTTCCGCTTACGCCTTAATTCACCGATTTGGTAGTTGGTCAGCCGGTCGTTGAATTGCTGTGTGACAACTTGGGAACTTTGATAAATCGCTTCAAGACCGTAATCTTTACTTACGGTGACGTTGAGGTGACTGCTGTTTCACGTCAAACCCAACAGAAGGGCCAACATCTTGCACTGCACTGATAAACAGAGTCCTAGTTGAGAAAAATCCGCCTTCGCCACCGGTGATTACACGATGTGAGATCAAGTATTGCGGTAAGATTACTGATTCATTTTTCTCTTTATGTCTGTTAATGTTGTTCCTATGCACTTGGTGGCTCACTACCAAAGATTTACTAGACAAGTGCAGTACCTCACTGGGAATTATTTTTCAAATGGGCAATAACAATGTTAATTTGATTTTGCCTTTACAAATCTCTAGAAATAACGATGATCAAAATTCATTTCGCGGTTTACCGATTGTTTGTGCTTGATGCATGCCTCTGTTGGAACAAGTGAAAAATCACAGTAGTTTAGTTAGGGTGCGTGTGAACTGAATTATTGAGTAAAGAATGTAAAACGACCTGCTACGTAATCGTAAATTGGCACGTTCATATTTGAAATTCCCGACTCTTGTAACAAAAATGCACTCCAAGGAAAGGGTTAAGTTTCATATATTTTCACGCATTGGCCTACAGCTTGTTGTGGTTATTCACGGCGGTGACTACTTCAGCAGTAAAGTAGTTATTGTTTGTCTGATAAAGTCGTCACTTTCTACGTAGGATCGCACCGCTGATGCGCCTCACATTAATCCAATCAGTTCGCTCTGCGCGCTCAAGAGGCACTCTCCATACAATCATAAACAAACAGACAAACAAACAATAGTCTCTGAAATCAGTTATCTTCTCAAGAAATTTTTCGTCGCTTGTTTTCAAGGAAGGCGACCGAACATTTTGCATCGTTCGATCTCGCAGTGGCGACCACATCAACTAAGCGCTGTACGTAATAGAAGACCTTCGTGTTCTTAATGATGTAATCAAGCTTATTTTTAGAATTGAAACCAAAAAAATCAGCATCGTAGAATTCACTTTTTTTCCTCGTTTCTGTGCGGGATGGAATAGTTTCTGGAATAAATAAGGTATTTTTCATCAATTTCTCGTCGTGAAATGGCACAGTTTTCCATACAACTACGCATTTGGAAACGACACATGTTCGGCGATGATTGCAATTTGCTTGACAGGCTGTAATGGGACACGTTAGGTCACGCGATTTCACCACGCCGGGCGTAAAATAAAGGTAACTGTTTTCGGTCGTTTCCAAATAAGGCGATTCGATACAAGCTGAAGTTGATTTGAAACATCGATTTAGTCGATCTGCAGTACACGTCGAAAGTCGTTTCGACACAATTTCAGTCACATGATTTCGATACAAACTAGTAAAGGTTTACAAACCAAACATGCAAATAAAGTGGCGATCTCTGTTAGAGCCGTTCAGGGGATTTCTCATCGGAAAAAAATTTTGCCTCAAATTTTGCCCATTGAACTATCTTTGGTAGCTAGTAAATAAGACCACATTGGTTTCTGGAGATACATTAAAAGTTTTTTTTATATGATATTCGATACGTTTTGTTCACCTTTTTCGTCACGAGACAGAATCGTTTGCCAGATTTTAGCCGTTTAAATTTTTTGAGAATCAATCGGTGTGTTCTAAAAGCTCAATCCTACTATCTTTCCTTTTCAAAATTGTTACAATCTGAGATTTATAAGGCTACTAATAAAGAACGGTCAGAGTTTGTTCAACAGACTAATTTGCATAATTTTGCCGTCACGCTAGCAAAATCACCAAAAGTTTGAAGTCACTACGGCAAAAGAAATTAATAACTGCAAGATGTTTTTACATTTCTATGCTTTCGAACATCTTATTAGAGGAAGTCAACCGGAGTTTTTAATGGTCCGGTCTGGACTTAAGAAATATCACCCAGGAAAGAAAGAGTACTTTCGACCAATTTCAGAAAGCTATCTAACGGGTGTTTTTTAATAAATTATGGCGAACCTCTGTATAAACACATATCAAAATTGAAATACTTTCCAAACCCCTTAGATATCACACAATAGTCAGGAACACAATCGATTTCTTGCTGCATGTGGTGTGTCACGAGGAGCGAGCTTGTCAAAAAAGAATGAAAAAATGTCTCAAGAGGTCAAAAAAGAGCCTTTTGCAGCTTTTTTTATTGAGAGCTCTCTTCAAGCTTTTTAGTATTTCCAGAAACCAACGTGGTTCTATTTACTAACTACCAAAGATATCTTAATGGGCAAAGTATGAGGCAAAACTTTTTCCAATGCGAGATGCCTGAACCGCTCTTACAGAGATCGCTACTTAAGAAGTGGGGAGAAACACGAGACGTAGTTGTAAAGCCGCTTCCTGTGTGCTTTGCAACAGAACAGAGCAAAGTCAAGGTCTCTATTTGTTAATTAGAATGTTCAGGAATGTTACGGAATTTGCCAGAATGTTCCATGGGCCTGGTTTCATGAATGGTCCTTAAACCCAGCGCTTTATTCTCTCTCCTTTACTCTCTACTTCGTTTTATTGATTTTATAACTGATTGATTTGAAATTGATTTATCAATTAATTGATTAACGCCCTTTAAGGTTACTTCCCACCTTCAAAGGCCGAAAAAAAATTGTTTTTTCTTTTATTTGACTAAACGGAATTAAAACATTTTACCTGTCCAAGAAAAAAAATCCCCAAAAGCACCCGAGTTATTTAGAAAAACGTAATTTCAAATAAAAGTTAATAATCAGGAAGGTGTCATAATCTCGTACCTGGGCGAGTACCCTAAGGGAATTTCCGCGGCAACCGCTCATCTTGGGGCTCGTTTTGTCTACATCGCGCATTTGACAAAATTCACACGTGGAAGCTCTTTGCATAGATGTCGTAAATGATCTCGCGACAAACAATCACACTGGTTTGATGTACACTATTTTTATTCTCCTACTCACTAGTAACTCCGATCTCACAATCAATCAACCCAAATCATCTGATGCGGCTCTTCTCGGCTGGAATTCTCTGGCGTCAGCTCTTAGCGTCTCTCCTCTCCTTCGTTCAGGTCTGTTGCAGGTTAATTCAAGAGGATAAAGCAGCTGCAGTGGTATCTCTATGAGTGTCTTCCCAGCTTTTAGCTGCGCCCCTCTTATCATTCTATCCCGACCTTGAATCAGGCGTTCCACCACACCAATCTTCCATTTGCCTCTGTTACGCCCCTCTCCCTTGATAGGCATTACGTCTTCTTCTTTCAAGGTAGCTTCTTTCGTTTGATGGTTGAGATTGTGACGCTCTCTTAGGGCCTTTAGGTGCTAGATTGTCCATCTTTTCCATAGGACGTCCTTCCATTTCCGTAGGTACTTGGCGCGTTTTCTGAGGTCACAATTTCAACGTTGGTTGGTTCCTCTTAAGGAATTTGATTTGGCTGTCCAAATAGCATAGGGTTAGGGGTCAAAACTGGCATTTAAATATCGTCTTCTATATAACCAAGAAGTTGTTGTTAAGGGTTGTCTCCACATCCAAGATGACCCCTTCCAATTCATGCCAGCGCAGGTGACCGTTTCCGATTGCTTCGTACATACTCTGCTTCATGATGCCAATCAATCTTTCGAACTGACCGTCCCACCATGGAGCTCTATTGAGATTACACTGCCACTGGATGTTTTGCTTGGCTAGCCAGTCGAACTTTCTTTAGCTATTTGGATGCTGAAACGTAGGTTCTCCCATTATCGGAGAAGATTTTCTCTGGCCGCCCTCGTCTCGCCATGAAACGTTTCAGACTGCGCAACAAGTGTTCCGTTGTTTAAACTGGTAGTAGATCCAAATAGACGGCACGGGTTGAGCTGTATGCATGAAGTAGAATGCATGGCTTCATCTCGCTTTTATTCTTGCTGAAGTACTTGATAGGCCCAGCAAAGTCGACTCCGATTGACTTGAAGGGCACTGATCCTTCTGTTCTTTTCTTGGGTAGGTTTCCAGTCGGTGGGTTTGCTAAGGCGGTTACTTGAAAGCGTTTACACCCAGGGCACTCATTTATCACTCTCTTTGTTAGTCTTCTAAGGGGAGGTATCCAATATTTCTCTCGTATCTTCGCGATTGTCAAACTGACTCCCTCATGGAGAGTCTGAAGTTGGGCGCGCAATACCAGCCTTTTGCTGAACAAAGCATCATCTGGAAGGTAAATGGGGTAGTCTCCCTGGATAAGCCCTCTGCATTCGTACAGTTTATCTGCGTTCTTCTGGAGATTTAGACGTTGCTGATCTTCCTGAAAACCGCTCGTATCTTGGCATCTGACTTGTGTCCCTTTTTCCCAGAACTTCTTCAGCCTACTAGTTTCTTGAGTAGTGATTGGTCCGGTGATTCTTTGCTGGTGTTTGGCTCTGCAGTTTCGAATAAAGCGCGAAACCTACCACTCGTCTCGGATGGTTGTCCATAGGTCCCATTTCTGCATCAGCTCATCATGTCCGTCATTTGTTTCAATGGTGACTGCTAGTACTTCCCTGATGACTGTGGCCTCAGCTTGCGTCTCTCTGGTTCGACATGTCACATTATCTGGAGGCCACTGTTGCTGATGTGCTAACCATAGTGGTCTACGCCACCACAGGTCTGTTGTCTCGAATAAATGACCACCTCGGCTTCCGAGATCAGCAGGGTTGTCCGTCGTTCCAACGTTTCGCCAACGGATGTAATTCTTGTCCTGATCTTTCGAACTCTATTTCTCACAAATTGTTTGTAATTTCCACCCCCTTTGATCCATTGTCTAGCTACACTGCTGTCGAGCCAACCATACATGCTCCTGATTGTGAATCCTTGTAGAGCTTCCTTTAATTTGTCCTCAACATTGGTTGCCATGTACCCAGCGACTAACCCGAGCCTTGGTGTGGTTACACCTTTCTTCGTCAGTCTGCATGAAGGTCGATACTTAAGATTTCTTCCCGGTATTCGACAAGGCTTCTTTGGAATTCTACTTTTCTAGTCAGCATTCTTTCCCAGTTCTCCCACGTGTTCTTTAGCTCTCTGGGAAGATCACGGTCCCAAGGTACTCGGGCGTCGCATATTTCTCTGTACAGCATCTTTCCAGCCAAGGTGACGGGTGAAGCTAATCCTAAATGGTCGTATATCTTAGATATCTTCCTGAGGATTTCTATCTTGGTTACTTTGACGATTGGGGCAGGAAAGGCAACTTTTATTGAGTCCACTGTTTTGTTCCACGGTGCGCCTAGCAGTTTGGTTTCCCACGTCTTTACACCCACATGGTACTTGGCGAAGATTTGGCCTGTATCTAGCACAGTAGTTGGTTGTTGTCCCGCTGTTTCCTCCGCGGGCGTGGCAAGGCTGTGACTTGCTTCCTATTGAGTGGTTGAATTTTCTTCTGCCACTTTCTCTGAGGATGGTGGCTCTTCTAGGGATGGCAGATTTGAATGCCATTTGTGCAGCTGGAATCTCCCTTCTCTGAAAATAGCTTGGGCTGCTTTTTTCTCGACCACAGTTGTTACACCAGTAATCAGGTCGTCAACATGGAGGCTCCGTTTAACTTCTTCGACTTCGTTTGGGAAGTTCTGCTGAAGGTTTCGCAGGTGCTGATCTATAACTCCTCCAAGATGGAATGGTGATGTGGACAGCCCGAATAGTACTCGTGAGAATCTGAGTGACTCCGCTTGCTTGGTCTCTTTGGGGGTGCCTTTGAACTTTGTAATAACCAATTTTGGCAGCTTGGCGTTGATGTTTTGATTTTTTTTTCTCGTCGATTTTCTTCTCATATTTAAGTTTCTGCTCTAGTTTGGTTTTCTATAACTTCATTTCATCGTCGAATTTCTTCTTTCTCTGTTTTTCGGCTCGCTTTTCTTCTTCCTTCGCTGTCGTTTCCATTTCGGCACTCCTTAATTCTTTAATCGCTAACTCGATGTCATTGATGGCTTTCTCAAATTCGCTCATTCTTTCTTCCAATTTGCGCGCTGCATTCCAAAATGCCCTCCTTATCTTCTTCGGCTTCAAAACTATTTTCTTGAACGTTTATCTTGAGGTTGTGAACTTCATCGACTTTCTTTTTCAACGTGTCACGCAATCTGTCCGCGGACGTGATGTTCTTCTTCTCAATCGTAGTGACCAATTGCCCCATCGTAATCTTGAGGATTTCTAGCTTCGCGTCCATTGCCTTAGATAGCCGTTCGGTTGTTTTGGTCATGATGCTTGGTTTGTCCTGGCGGGGTTGTCACTTTTGTCGTAAATGATCTCGCGACAAACAGTAACACTGGTTTCATGTACAGTAACTCCGATCTCACAATCAATCAACCCAAATCACCTATCATAATCTATCTGCACTACGTCACGAACCAATCAACAAATGCAATGTAACGCTTCGATCACTACAAATCCAACAGAAGGAGCAACATCTTGCACTGCAGTGATAAACGGAGAGTCCTGCTTGAGAAATTTCCGCCTTCGCTCTTGGCGATAACACGATGTTAAATCAACTATTGTGGTAAGATTACTGATTCTTTTTTTGTATACGTCTGCTAATGTTGTTTCGGTGCACCTGGTGGCTCACTACCAAAGATTCACTAGACGAGTGCAATACCTCATTGTAGGCACTATCCATACAATAGTCTCTTAAATCAGTGATCTTTAGAAATTTTTCGTCGCCTGTTTTCAGAGAAGGCGACTAAACATTGTGCATCGTTCGATCTCACAGTGGCGACCACATCAACCAGGCACTGTACGTAAAAGAAGACCTTCGTGTTTTTGATGATGTGATTACGCTAATTTTTAGAATTGAAACCAGAGAATCTGTATCTTAGAATTCATTCTTTTCCTTGTTTCTGTGCGGGATGGAATGGTTTCTGGAATATATAAGGTACTTTTCGACACTATCTTGTCGTGAAATGGCACAGTTTGCTATACAACTACGCATTTGGAAACGACACATGTTCGGCGATGCGTGTAATTTGCGTGACAGGCTTTAAGGGAGTACGTTAGGTCACGCGATGTTTCACCACGCCGGGCGTAGAATAAATGAAACCGTTTACGGTCGTTTCCATATAAGGTGATTCGAAACAAGCTGAAGTTGATTCGATACATCGATTAAGTCGATCCGATACACGTCGAAAGTCGTTTCGACACAACTTCAGTCACATGATTTGGATACAAACTGGTAAAGGTTTATCATCCAAACATCCAAATTAATTATTTATCTTCTTTAAAATGGTGTACATCGCGCCCGCAGCTCGATTGCTGTGGCTGACTTGGTGACGCATGCGCTCTTCCCAATATTCCTTTTTAGAGATTGTGCAACAATTGTCAGAAGGGAGGGAGATAAAATCGAGAAGGGGGCAGTATGTAAAACTCATTCAGGGAGCGAGGATAACACGTCATTCTTTGTATAGAGAGCAAAGGGGATGGTATTTAATTTTCCTGTCACCAAGCTGACATGAAATACAAGTACATATATAACATCATATCAATAAAACATGATCTATGTGCCATCATATAACATCATATACACCCTAACATCAGTTTGCATATTCTCCATACTATCTTCTATACATTTCCTGAGGTGTTGACAAGGAGAATTTGTTTAACAATCAAGAGTTTCTCTAACTGGTGATCATTTTCCATATTCTCATGACCTTAATGTGAAATTCAGGGGTGATATTGTAAGGAGAAATTAGATGCTAGTCACTCTTAGGGGTTAAAAGGTTAAGCAAAAACCATCAGAGGGAGGGTCTCTTCAGATGTATTCACATTAAATGTAAAATAAAAAAAATTCATTCTCTTGCCTTATTTCTATGACTACCTCCCTCGCTTGATTGCTGGACAGCAATTTTGCATGAAACTGAGTTTTAAAAAAATTAATTTGTACACCAAAATGTACCTAAAAGATGCAAACTGATCAATAGTGGGCTGTAGAAACTTTTTTTTTGTCACAATCTTCACGATTGTTGACTTTTTGGGGTGTGTGGGATGATTCAAAAATGATTCAGGATGTTTTATAATAAAGTTCGTATAAAACGCGCGCTGTTATTGGTTAAAAGAACGTGCTCTATCAGAGTACAAAGCACAGAGCTGAGCTAAAGCTGTCACGTTATCTGCCAAATTCTCGGTTTGCAGCTGACGTCATACATTTATGCAAGTTAAACGTCCGCCATGTTGGTGCGCATCTCAGGTGCGTGTACTAAGTCCGACCATTTAGCAACAGGAGGACCAACATAGCTTTGTAAACATGCCAAGCGCCGTTATTTACGTTATTATAACGTGAGCAGAGACAAAACACCTCACTTCTTTCGCGCTCTAGCCGCTTCCTGCGTGCTTTACAACAGAACAGAACACAGTCAAGGCTTCTCTATTTGTAATATAGAATGTTCAGGAATGTTACGGAATTTGCCAGAATGTTCCATGGGCCTGGTTTTATCAATGGTCCTTAAACCCAACGCTTTATTCCTTCTCCTTTACTCTCTACTTCGTTTAATTGATTTTATAACTGATTGGTTTGAAATTCATTTATCAATTAATTAACTAATTATTTGATTAACGCCCTTTAAATAGACTGCATGATATCTTTCAGCACGGAGCTCCTTTGACGCTTGCACAGGTCTTAAAAATACTGTTACCAGTTTTTTGCTGTCGCTTAAAATGGTTTAATTACTAAAGGTTTAGATTTGGTAATTATTTTTGACTGTTAGCTGATATTGGTATTTTTAACAAAGGTTTACAAGACACGCCTACAAAAGACATGGCCGCTGCAAAAGAATATACTGATGAGCAACTAAACTATTTCAAGATTTGTCACGTCACAACTGATATCCTAACTGAAGGTTTGCGAATAATTTTCAAACAAGAATGGGACAGTCGTTACAGAACGACTCTTGGAGAATGGAAAGATGATCCTAGTAACGGGAAAGACTTTTACAGTAAAGAGTCCCCGCCAAACCAAAGGAGGCACAAGGATAAGTTGTCGACCATGATTAAAGGAAATAGAGCGGAATGGGATTGTACCATGTTGTTTTACGCCATCCTCTACTCAGATTGCATCTTCAGGCTAAACGCTGTGGTGAGAAAGAATATCAACGATCTCAGAAAATTTCGCAATGAAGAATTTGCTCATATGCCACAAGGTCAACTTTCGGAGTTAGACTTCAAAAATGCTATTGGCAAAGTTTTTGCTGCATTCCAAGCACTAGGTCTTTCCACTGTAGAAATTCAAGAGATCACAAACCAAAAGACGTTTCCGACAGAGGAGTTAAGAGATCTCTTAGACAAAGTGAAAGCTTTAAAGAAAGACTTGCACATAAAAGAGAAAGACAATAAGGACCTTGAAGATCAGCTGAAGAGGATAGAGAGTCAACGCCAGGATCTGGAAGATCAGCTGAAGGAAACAAGAAAACAACGAATTTGTCTTGAAGATCAGCTTAAGGAAACTGAAAAACAACTACAGGTTCTTAAAAATGAGATTAACGAAACAGAAGAAAAACGAGTGGACCTTGAGGACCTCTTAGAGAAAAAAGAAAATGAGCTACAGGAAACAGAAGAAAAACGCAGGAACCTTATAGACCAGCTTGAGACAACAGAAGAACGACAAAGGAACCTTAAAGATAACCTAAAGGAAACAGAAGAGAGACGGAAGAGCCTCGAAGATCAGTTACAAGAGAAAGAAAAACAAGTTAAGGTTCTTTCAGAACAACTACTGAACGACACCTCCCCGTTTTGCATTCTTCCTCCTAAACCTTCGCACGACATAGCAAGTCGCGATGTTGAGGTTGCTGACATCACAAACCAGCTGCAGGAGCTTAAGCAAGCTGATGCGAGCAACTTAAGTATCTTGTATATATCCGGGAATCCTGGAAGCGGTAAATCCCAACTGGCAGGTCTTGTAGCCAAGAGATTTTACGAGAAAGCCCAAGAAGATTCTTGCTCTGAAGTGTTTGTTATGACACTGAATGCCGAGACGCTGGGCACACTTTTGGATTCTTACATCACGTTCGCTAGACAAATGAAGTGCCCCGAAGATGCGATTACACAAATCCATATCTCCAAAGATTTGAAGACAGAGGACAAGATTAACAGCCTGATATCCTTAATCAGCTCAAAGATCGGTCAGTACGAGTCCTGGCTTCTGTTGGCTGACAACGTGAAAAGCTTATCTGAAATGCATGTTCATTTACCCCAGCAAGGACACGGACAATGGGGAAAGGGGTATCTGTTGATCACAACCCAAGATAGTACATGTATACCGTTAACAAGCACTTCCATTCGACACATCTCAGTAAGCGAGGGTATGCAGTCCCAAGAGGCGTGTTCTTTGTTAGCCCTTATTTCTGGTATCAGTGATAGTGAGATAGGAGAACTAGTAGCTAGAGAACTCGACTACCAACCTCTTGCTTTAGCAAGCGCAGCCACCTATGTGAAGCAACTCCGACAGAGCAAACGTTCCTCAGAGTTTGGATGGAATGACTTTCTGAGGAAAGTAGAGAAAGGGCAACGTGATGCGACAGAGACTCTACTTACAGAGACCAACCCATGTTACAAGAAATCGATGACAACAGCAACAATACTGGCCATTAAAGAAGTGATGCAATCAGACAGAATCATAGATCATGCATTAAGTTTTCTCTGCCTCCTTTCGTCACAGCCCTTAAATGCGGATATCGTGGTGAATTATATCGTAAGCGTCGATGAAGGAATAAAAGATGAAGAGATGATAATTATGAAACTCCAAAGATGTTCGCTAATTTTAACACATGAAGATGAGTTTGGTTTCCACATACGGGTACATCAGGTTGTGCGCGATGTCGTAAAGTCTTTGATTAAGGGCCACCTGGAAAGCCGTCACATAAAAACTTTGAATAGCGCTGTTGCGGCGTTTAACCAGTTTATAGATGACAACCTACCGGAGGAATCGTCAGATTCAATTTTGCAAAGCCACGCCCTTGCCCTACATTTGGAAAATTTCATTCTTAGTTTTGAAAACATACTTTCGAAAGCTGTCCTTCCTCAAATATTCCAGCCTGGAATGGAAAATCTCGGCAAGATATGTGAGAACCATTGTCATTTTCAGGCCGCAAAGAAATTCTATGCATTTTCATTGCAATTTTTCCTCCAAAAGTTTGGACCAAAGCACACTAGTGTTGCAACTAGTTACAATAACTTGGGTCTGGTGCACGAACAACTGGGCGACTTTGAGAAGGCCAAGGAGTATCACGAACTTGCTCTGAGTATTAACCAGAAAAAGCTAGGACCTGAGAATGTACAAGTGGCAACTAGTTACAATAACTTGGGTCTGGTGCACGACAAACTGGGCGACTTTGAGAAGGCCAAGGAGTATCACGAACTTGCTCTGAGTATTTACCAGAAAAAGCTAGGACCTGAGAATGTACAAGTGGCAACTAGTTACAATAACTTGGGTCTGGTGCACGAACAACTGGGCGACTTTGAGAAGGCCAAGGAGTATCACGAACTTGCTCTGAGTATTTACCAGAAAAAGCTAGGACCTGAGAATGTACAAGTGGCAACTAGTTACAATAACTTGGGTCTGGTGCACGACAAACTGGGCGACTTTGAGAAGGCCAAGGAGTATCACGAACTTGCTCTGAGTATTTACCAGAAAAAGCTAGGACCTGAGAATGTACAAGTGGCAACTAGTTACAATAACTTGGGTCTGGTGCACGACAAACTGGGCGACTTTGAGAAGGCCAAGGAGTATCACGAACTTGCTCTGAGTATTTACCAGAAAAAGCTAGGACCTGAGAATGTACAAGTGGCAACTAGTTACAATAACTTGGGTCTGGTGCACTCCAAACTGGGCGACTTTGAGAAGGCCAAGGAGTATCACGAACTTGCTCTGAGTATTAAAAAGAAAAAGCTAGGACCTGAGAATGTACAAGTGGCAACTAGTTACAATAACTTGGGTCTGTTCATACCGAACTGGGCGACTTTGAGAAGTCGAAGGAGTATCACGAACTTGCTCTGAGTATTAGACAGACAAAGCTAGGACCTGAGAATGTACAAGTGGCAGCAAGTTACAATAACTGGGGGACTTTGAGAAGGCCAAGGAGTATCACGAACTTGCTCTGAGTATTGAAATGAAAAAGCTAGGACCTGAGAATGTGGAAGTGGCAACTAGTTACAATAACTTGGGTCTGGTGCATCACAACTGGGCGACTTTGAGAAGGCCAAGGAGTATCACGAACTTGCTCTGAGTATTTACCAGAAAAAGCTAGGACCTGAGAATGTAGACGTGGCAACTAGTTACAATAACTTGGGTCTGGTGCACGACAAACTGGGCGACTTTGAGAAGGCCAAGGAGTATCACGAACTTGCTCTGAGTATTTACCAGAAAAAGCTAGGACCTGAGAATGTACAAGTGGCAACTAGTTACAATAACTTGGGTCTGGTGCACGACAAACTGGGCGACTTTGAGAAGGCCAAGGAGTATCACGAACTTGCTCTGAGTATTTACCAGAAAAAGCTAGGACCTGAGAATGTACAAGTGGCAACTAGTTACAATAACTTGGGTCTGGTGCACGAACAACTGGGCGACTTTGAGAAGGCCAAGGAGTATCACGAACTTGCTCTGAGTATTAACCAGAAAAAGCTAGGACCTGAGAATGTACAAGTGGCAACTAGTTACAATAACTTGGGTCTGGTGCACGAACAACTGGGCGACTTTGAGAAGGCCAAGGAGTATCACGAACTTGCTCTGAGTATTTACCAGAAAAAGCTAGGACCTGAGAATGTAGACGTGGCAACTAGCTACAATAACTTGGGTCAAAAAGCCACGACCTGTGCGTGTTTATGATGCGTCTGTACCAGCTACCAAAAGTCTCGTGAAGTCTGTTTATTTGGGTCAGGACATTTTACAGGAAGCCGAGGAGTGTCATGTTCCTGCCACTAACTACCGTTCCCGGAAACGTGCAGGTGGAGATAGTCTTGCTGCAGTTATAAACGATAGGATCGATGCCTTGAGTCAAAGCTCGTTTGAAAGTAGTGTTAAATCCTCTAAAAAGCGAAAGACAAAAAAGGAGTGAGAAATAGGAGGACAGAAATCGTAAGAATTAGTTACAAGTCATTTTCTTGAATTACTGAGATTCCCAGACGAGACAATGAAAGGAATTATTTCGTAACATAACCGGAAGATTTGAATACAACTCACGAGATTAAATTTCGAATTAGTATTGTTCGTAACAGCCCGTGTTCAGCATGTTTCTTGACATCAAAACCTTTCCGAATAGGTGGAATAGACTTGTTCGTGTTTTGACTTGTTTCGATTGGCTGTCCTCTTCTTTTTATAAGTTTAAATCAGGATATTCTTTATCTTTTGTCAAACAACAGGCAATTCTTATCTGGCAATTTTTTTTTTTTAACCTTAGACAGCTTTGCTGTAAAGAAAAGTTTTAAAGCCAACAGTAGTTCAGCTTTTCAATTAACGAGCACAAACTGCACTTATTATGTTTGGAAACTGTTCCTTTGACGATGCTATCGTAGCCTTAGTTCATTTAGTAGCCAAACATCCTACGTTTTCAATTTTATCGAGCCGTTTTTCTACTCATAATTACAGGCGTGCAGCTGAAAAGATATCCTTGCGATAATTTCAATAAGTTCTTATCAATCGAATAAGTTATCTTCCTGTTACTTTACTTGGACATTATATTCTCGAAATAATTTCGTAAAAAAGACCGTGGTTAGTCATCGTGGTGAATAACAATAAAAGCTAAGTTTTTCGTTTGTCTCACGATGTAGTCACGTGTGATGTAGATCGCGACGTTTCGACTGCATACTGCTATTCTTCTTCAGGCGATGAGGTCGACTGGTCATGCGTGATCTTATAAAGCATGATGCTCTGCTGTGACTGGTTGTTTTTCAACAGCTCTGATTGGTGCATTTCGATCCTTGCTGTTTCACTCAGTGATTTGCTCCCTCGGCGGTCCGCTGTCGCACGGCTCTCCTGTTGTTGTGTTTTTTGATCGTGGGCATCCACGCTTCTAGAATTTCTATTCCACTATCCCTGTTGATGTTGTCAGGGTGAAGTCTTATATGAATTGCCTCTTTGACCCTGCGCGTGTAGTAATAAGGGTCACGATCAATAAACTTTACTTCGTTCCAGAGTGGCTTGTGTCCGGTGTTGTGGGCATGCTCTGAAACGGCGGAGGTCTCGGTACGGGCGAGTCGGATGTCTCGATCATGCTCCTTAATTCCAGTCTCTCCGATGTACACCTTGCCGCATTCACAGGGAATCCTCAGTGTTATCACTCGTATGATTACAGACCGATTACCATTACTTATTACGATAAATTCCCAATAAATTAATGTTGGAACCGAGTGCTGACTATTTTAAAAATCCTTGTCTCCTTGAGCTCGGTAAGAACGCCATTGAGGTTGATCTCCGTGTGCCAGGAAATGATATCAAGTTTCCGTTCCCGCCGAGCTATTTCCCCCGATTTGACAGCGTTCAAGTAAGGAAACCTAAAAATATATTGCAGCTGGAAAACCTATTGTCACAGTGGTTAATGAACTTATCGTTAACCTAGAAAGTCGTGGAAGTTTTCCTGCGGATTTTCCCAAAATAATCAGCAACGAAGAAATGCCCCAATCCAATGATCGCGTACCATCCGTGAAAGCAACTTTTTGGTAAAAGGGTATGGAAAACATCAACAAAGTCTTGTAAAAAGTCCTGCAAAGTCATGGAATTTTACTGATCGGAAAGAATACGAATCCTTTTGTTTCTTGGTTCCTCAGTTCGGAAGAATTTTGACCCAACATTCGTAGCGACTCTGCAGGGTTCAAGTTTAAACACTTGATTCCCGAAAGGCCAGATTCAAGAAAGTTCTTGGAAATCAGGCTGAATTTTTACGAGTTTAAGTCAATGGAACTCCGTGTATTTGAACTGTTTAGGGAAGCGTAAAACAGCACGGGATACAGGGGAGTTCGAGTGAGCTGTCTAATGCTCAGAGGAATTGTGCAAATTGGGTGTTACGCTACCTTCGCGGACCTTTCGAGGCAGTTTTGTAAATATGGTTAAAAAGGTAACTTTCACTATCATAAATAGGGTAGATTTGGATCCATTTTGTTTGTTTCTGTTTAAGAAATAAGAAAGGATCCCGGTTTGAAACAAAATCCCGCATATGTCCCTTTTTTTTAAGAGAGGATGTCAGCATCCATCGAACAAATTTGAAATATTGTGGCAAGTCGCCCAAAATTCGTTTTCTCCCCTACTACTAAAACAAAGGATTATGCTGACAGAAATATCGGAGGTCAAGTAAATTCGTTACATGAGGTCACACAACTCGGGTAATATTCACGGTGAAAATTTGCATATTTGAGCGGTCGAACGAAAAAGATCATTTCTCGAAAACTAAAATATATTTTCACCAAAAAACTACACCACAATTATTAGGACATATTGGGCTACAGAATATGAAAGTAGGAGAGAAAACGAATTTTGGGGACTTGCCGCTGTTTGTCTGATGCATGACGACATTAGCTCTTAAATCGCTTATTCCCATTGGAGGATATCTCAATGAGGATTCAGAAATAACCATTGAAGAGTTAGGTGGACGAAGGTGATGCACTAAAATATATCCCTAACTGATATCATTGAATGTTTCAGCTTAATCTGACTTAAATTCAACTGAGATGAATCTTAACGACAAACCTGATGCTCTAGCCCCTCCCACACCTCCCCCGCCTCCCCCCTTTCCGATAGAAACGACCACGAAACGCACGCACGCAGATTTGTTGTTTTTATAGTTTGATTTAAAAGGATAATAAACTTACTTTTACAATAGTCATTTCAGCCATAATTAGGGCATAGAAAGATGAATAATTACAAAAACTAGACCTTTCATAAATTCACATTCCCTGTATGTTGTTAGTATTGTTTCACTAGTGTGGAAAATACAGAGATAGAAAAAGGTTTTGTTGGCGGTAATTTCCATTGGCGATCGTGAAAACCTTTACCGCCGTTCGGTTTACTCGCCTGTTGTTCGTTTAAGTGATCTTTTCTATACAGGATTTCTACAGGTCGTCGTTGAGTGACCTTAAAAAAAGTAAGCTTGTATAAAAGGCAAGTAGTCTTGTACAGCAGTTGGTTTGTAGTTATAAATTAAAGAAGCCCTCTCTTCCTCTGCTCTGGAGAATCGATGAGTGCTGAAGCGCGCTGCCGACAACAGAGAGGAATTACTATCATTACAACTATTGTTGTTATAATTAACCTTTTCCCTCCCTAGATTTCATTATTAGTAATTTGTCTTGCTGTTTGCCATACGATTCTTATGATGCTAGTTTAGGGAATTTGGTATTGGATCAACTAATCATCCTCTAATTGATATTTTCTTTATTCTCATCACT